TTGACCTTGAACTTACAGAAAATCTGTGAGTGAATGATATCCATTTTTTTTTTTTTTTTTTGGTAAAGACATCTACACATCCTTAGTGACTTTTTAGGATCCACCAAGGAAGGTCGATGGGGGTTAAGGGTTCCCCAACCATATTTATTTCATAAAAATCAAGAATACACGAAAGGAGGGGGGCATGAACCTGACCTCCAAAAAGCAGTGATGCAACAAATGAATATAATAAATGAAAGCAATAAATGAGGAAGTACTACTTCCCTATACAATAAAGAATAGCCTAAATTACGAACCTCTGAAACTGGGCAATCCATGTCTGTCGATCCGCATTATCGCCCTAATATGTCGAGGCAGTTCTAGTGGTCCATACTCTAGATAGCGCCGATGATTCCAGCCTTCTGTAGCAAGAGAATCAGCAACCTGGTTGCCTTCTCTGTAGATGTGTGAAACCGTGTCTCTATCGAAGTAGATGAGGTCTCTGATCTGTCTAAAAATACCCTGAATCGACCATGGTCCTGCACCTTTGGTAATGCAGTGAATAGCCAATGTTGAATCTGCCTCGAGCCAGATAGCTGAAATTCCAAGTCCTCTGGCCAATAGAAGCCCATCTAGTATGGCTCTGAGTTCAGCCTCCAAAATGAAACATGGGTCATACGATGCTGAGAATGCTTTGATACAGTATCCTGCGTGGTCCCTAATGATGCCTCCACCACTTGCAAATCCATCTTTGACGCATCCATCAACTGGTGGAGTGTGCCAAACAACCATAATAGGTGGTGGTGGGAGAGGACGGGTCAAAGAAATGCCAAAAAAAGGTGCAAGTGTCACATCTCCTCGCCAATGCTCAACTCGGAATAGTCCTCCCATATGAAGAAAGGAGATCATGCGGTAGACCCTCCAAATAATACGTCTGGCCACCATACGAATACCTCTATGCTTCGCATCATTCCTCTCAGTCCATAGAAACCAAAATATCAGTAGAGGAATGATAATACGAATGTGTCCACG